GATGGTTAAAAAGTCATATAATAAGCTAAGATGGTAATTTTAACCAATGTCATTAAAAGAGAGGTGTGGCAAATAGAAAGAACCAGATCCCCATTGATTTCATGCTATCCATGGATTGGTTCTTAAAGGAACTACATTCCTTAGTTCCACCTGATCTAAAAAAGATTACGACTAAGACCCACCATGTTCTGCACATTTTAAGTATAGCAAAAATATAACATTACCCACATAACTATTCCATTGATACTATGTAAGTTCCTCTCATATCAATTTCCCAAACAATATGGAATTGAAAAAAAAGAATATGGGATGTTATCTCAATGACTTTTTATTTAACCTGTTCAAGTCTATTTTTATTACGCAATTTTCCACAATTCCATATTCTTATGTATTTTTTATTCAAATATAAGAACTGGAATGGATTATTTCCCAGGTATTGTTTAATCATTTGAAATTAATTAAAAAAAAAACACATTTACTGTCAATGTCTTTTTCTCTTGTTCATTTACCATGGAAAACTGAATTTAAATATAAAAAAAAAAGAAAGAAAAAGATCAGGACCAATAATATTATTGATTCATCTTTTTTATTTTTAAATAACTCGTAATAAATATTAGGAGCCACCATCCCATATGTCCTGCAGTAATATTTTAAGCATGGATGAATGGTAGACTTATAGATATGTAAGATAGATTCTGGAGAGAGAAAAATTGTCTCTCACGACACAGTGAACTGATATTCTTAGCAGCTGATCTAGCAATGGATTTAATATAGTCTTTCCACTTCATTTCAGATGAGAATATTATCCCGAGGAAGTTAACATCAAATTTGCTACAAAATTTAGCGACCGTGTGCCATAAATGATGGTTAATAGCATGTAAACCGACAACAAAAATTAAGATGTCCTTTTACAATTAAATTATATTACTGCATGACAAGATCCTCTGGAGCGAATACGACATTTAGTAAAGAAAAATAGAAATATTTTGTATATTTTTAAATGAGAAATTTTCCTTTGACCTTTTTCAAACTAAAAATTTATAGATTTTTTTTCCTCATTAGTGTTTTTTTTATTTTTTTTAAAATTGGTCAAATATTTGAAACTCAAACAAAATTTTGTTTTCAATCGTTAATGAATAAGCGCACGATTGAATAGAATTTTATTATAAACAAAGTGTCTTGTAAATGGAATTTTTAAAGCATTCTGAATGTAAAAATAAAAGAAAAAAAGTGTGCAAGACAATAATCCCAAACACTACCCAACTCAAAAAGTTTTGTATTTAAATCGGTTCAAAATTTCCCGATCCCATTATAAAAAGAAACTGATAACACACACACACACACACACAAACACACAAGATATTAACTATGTTTTATAAATATAACTTTTTAAAAAATCCCCTTTCAATTTTTCTTTTTTATCTTTCGTTTAGGTTTCCATATAAAACGAACGATTGTTTTGCACACACACACACAAAAACACAAACAAACAATTCAGAATAAGTATAAAAAAAAAAAAAACATGTCCATTCCAATTCATTTCCGTTGGAACAAAAATGATTTAAGCTTAAAGTTTTTCAAAATTGATTTTTTTTAAAAAAAATTTGTTTTTAAATTTTTATAAAACAGAACAACCGCAAGGTAATGTTATAAATCCTGTGAAGTTTTGGTGAAATCGGTTTTTTAAACGATTTTCCTATCCAATATTTATTACTTGAAACAGACACACACACACACACAACCTGGGTTTTATAAATCTTATGATGATATATTCTGAAAAAAAAAAGTCTTGATAAACAGAGTGCAAGGTAAAGGTTAGCAAAAAAAAGCAATGTAAATTCCTCCTAAACTTGATTGATATACTGTTGGACATAATATGGGAGAATTAGGAACAATTAACATTAATAATAAAATTAAAAGAAAAAGGTTAAATGGTAATAACATTAGATGGTTATGGACATTGACATTGCATTTAAATTTTTGCAGATTAAAAGTTGGCTGGAAAAATGGAGATGGAAGGGAATTCCATTCAAGCGAGAAGTTTTATGAGAAAAAAAAACTGTTAGTTAATCGAACTTTGAGTTACAAACTCGCCAGCTCAACTGTTATATTGAGCCTCGAGATGTCCATTTTAGTCAAAATTTTTACTTAAATTTATTAATTTGTGGTGTGATAACGCAGATTTTATTTCTGAACAATTTTGATGGAGGTATTTATTTGAATACTGATTTTGCAGCCTTATTTTTTGGGAAAGTGATTGAAGATTTTCCAGTGGTTTATTTAGAATTCTTCTTTGGACTTTTGTCAAGGATATTTAAAAATAGCAGAGGCACCGGACAATATGTTGCAGCAATATTCAAAACATGGAAGAATGGGAGACTCGTAGATATGTAGAATATATTCTGGTTTAATTCTGGTAAATATGACTGAATACAAAGCAAAAGAATGTTTCTATCACGTTCCCATATTTTGAAGAATTTATTTATTATGTTGTTTAAAAAACTGTCTCACGTTTTTTTTATGACCATGGAATAATTGAATACAATTCATAAATGCCATTTTGAAAGATCAATCAGTATATGTCATGAAAATATTTGAAGCGCTAAATGAACAAAAATTTTATTTATATCGGATTTCATCTTTTTGTTAAAATATTGGGTTAAACAATGATATGTTGAACTTTCTAATTTTTTTTATTATTGAGATTCTTACTAATGAATATATATTATACACACAATTTTTGTTTAAGTTGTTATATATATATAAAGTAAATAATAATAGTAATAAATATACATATACCTAATTCGAAGTTGCAAATTAAGTCTTTTTCTTCTACCAACGATTTGGTGTCCCAAAAATTTAAATTTTGATATGGGAGGAATTTTAAATTAATTTTTAGATTCCAAGCTTGTACTTTTAAAATAAATTAAATATATTCTTTGGATAACAACTATGTTAGTAAATGTTCAGAAATGTTGTAGAATATATATATATATATATATATATATATATATATATATATATATATATATATTTATATATAATATGTTTTGTATATAATATATTATAAGGAACATAACTCCGTCGTCTAGTAATAACCAGTATTTATAATTGTATATATATATATATATATATATATATATATATATATATATATATATATATATATATATATATATTTATATATATATATAAATATTAAAATCTATTTTTATATAATATGCATATATTCATATATATATATATATATATATATATATATATATATATAATTTAGAATATAATATATAAACATATATATATATATATATAAATATAAATATATATATATTATATATATATATATATATATTAAGAACATATATAAAAAATGTATAACATATATATATAATATAAAAAAATATATATATTATTTATTATATAAAAATTTTAACCTATAATATATAATGTATAAATATAATAATTATTTCTTGAACAATTAAATTAAATAGGGCAATATATATTTATAATTTAAATGAATTAATGAATTTTATTTGATCAATCAAAATTATAAATAATTATATAGGCCACATACAATATGTTTTTATTGATTCATCTACACCTTTCTGACATAGCTCAATTAGATCTCATTTAAATATTCATGGAGACCTACCGGACACTATTCGTAACATACTTATATACTATGATAACACTAATATAATAGCATCATCTACATGCAAAAAAAAAAAAAAGGCTAAAAATAATGGAAGCCTTTATTAATAAAAAAAAAAAAAAACCAACACTTAATAATATTAACTTTGAACATGGACATAATATCTTGACCGTGTTTTGAAAAATGAAAACATTTTATAAAACATACATACAACAAACTATTTCTTATTTAACAGTTAAAATATTTAATCCTTGAAAATGGCTAAATGTATAGCCGAAAGCGCTCGGATAAAAAGAACATTCGGACAGTTTTTATATAATTTATCATCCGAAAAGAAAAAATTATTAGATCGCATGAGAAATTGTATAAAAACTAAATAAAAGCACCTTGTCTGTCGTATTCAATGAAATGTATATATATATATATATATATATATATATATATATATATATATATATATATATATAAATATATATATATTTTGGCAATTATATTTGAATGGTATTTTGCGTGACGGGTTTGTTCCATGGAGTTCGAATAACAAGTTTTCATTCAATCTAAAATCCGAAAATTAAATCTACAAGCGGCCATTAAATCAAAACTGTTTATTATTGGCTGTCCATTCAACAAAATCGTTCATTAAATAACCTTCCTTGAATCTCTGCTTGCCGCTTCCAATGCAGAATCAACAATGAGATCCTAATTATTAAATATTTTGTCTGCCATATCTCTCTTATATCGTATCATCTGAAGTGAAAGGTTTGGTCGGGAGAGAAGAAAACCAAGTCAATAATTTCTGTTATGTTAGTTTGTTGCTCCATGCGGCTGGAATCCCGAACATTGATCTATAACGACGCGAAGAGCCATTTAACACAAACAACACACTCAGCCGACAGGGAAGGAAGGGAGCACCGGAAACAACAGACCTCATATATAAAAAAATCTCCGTGATTGGGCGATCGAAGGAAACGTTCATTTTTAAATGCACAGAGACTAGTAACCAAGTCGAAAAAGATCGGCTGAATCATTATTAAAGGGTGGGCAATTTAAAATCAGAAAGTTGCGACAATTTTGGTAAATAATCGGCAATGTATCGTTCATTAAACATGTCTATTTTTTCGCGCAGCATTTGCATATCGATTCATTGTTGAGAAATAAATACCACTCGAGTCGCTTCTTCCCGCGAAATACCGCACTGTGGAACCGACTCCCAAGAGGATACTTTCTCGATCACTGCAATCTTAACCTGTTCAAGTTTAGGCTTAATCGTTATCTTCCCCATACATATACATACACTGTCCCTATTACATTGTAAACATCTACCTGCTCTGTGGTACCGACTCCCAAGATGCGTTTTGATGATTTTGTCCTTGGCAAGTACGGTTTATTTAAAAAAAAAAAACAACAACAAAAAACAAAAACAAAAAAAACAGCATTTGCTACATCCTGCAATTTTAAATGCATTTATCAAATTATTCTTTATTTCTGAAATAAAAGAAGGCTTGAATTATGACTAACATCCACGTGAGGAAAAATCGATATAATTTATATATATATATATATATATATATATATAATTTAGATGTACACACACACACACACACACACACATATACACACACACACACATATATATATATATATATATATATATATATATGCTTCTTTTTTGCTTTTTATTCTGTAGCCATAGCAAACGAAACGGGTATAATTTATAGCCCACATTTGTTGACTAATGTCGTTTCCGTTTGGCGCATGCGCGTTGTACAAACCTGACGAATGTTAAAACATGTTTGCCTCCGTTCGGTTCAAGAAAATAATAGTTTATAGGGAAGGCTATGCTACTGTTTAAAAGGGATTTACGGCAAAATTCTAGCAGTTTTCCTTCGCTCTTTTTCTTTCTTTGTGGAGAAAAAGTCGCATTGAACGCAGTTAACCAAAAAGCAAATGATTAAATCGTTAAAAGTAGAAATTAACACACGTTCAAAAAGTTCTAAGCTTCACCTAGAAAGAAGAGCCATAGCTGAACATTTTTGTTGTGGTAACACACTACCACTTCTTATAAAACTAAAAAAATTAATTCAGATTCCTGTCTTAATTTCCGTGCAGGTGAGGCCCATACAATGGTGAGAAGTGTGCGACAAATCTAAAAATGGACAAAATAAAAGCAAAAGAAAGGTATGGCACCCAAGGAAATCTATGAGGACTTGGTACGCACACTTGCTGAGGACACCCCCCTGCAACTGTGAAGAATAAGCATTAGTTCTGGCTCGGTCCATACTGTTTAAACTGAGATTTTAGGGATGAGCAAGCTGTCTGAAGATGGGTCCCAAGAATGCTGACACCAGAGTAAAAGCTGAAAAGGGTTGACATTTCTGACTCGCTCCCGGGCTGACCCTGAGAATTTCCGCCGCAGATTAGTAACTCAAGATGAGGCGTGGCTTCGAAAGTGTATCAAAGATTCAAAGCAGACTGTGGAAACATTCTGATTCTCCACCTCAGAAGAAGTTCAAGAAGGCAGCGTCTGTTGGCCAGGTGATGGCTTCTGTTTTTTTTTTATTCTGAAGGCGTAATCATAATAGATTGCCTGGAAAAGGGGAAAATTATCAGTGGCCAGTACTATGCATCAGAATTAAGACAAGTGAAGTAAGCAATCAAGTTGAAACGCAGGGAGAAGCTGAGGGCAGGTGTGCTTTTGCCCCCACAATAACGCGCCCGTATACAGAGCTCAAGTGGCAGTTGCTGAAGCAGCCAACTGTGTCTTTGAATTGCTAACCCACCCCCTTACTCACCTGACTCTGGTGTCAGCATTCTTGGGAACCATCTTTGAGACAGCTTGCTCATCCCCAAGATCTCACTTGCAATGCTTAAGTCCAAGTGCATTGACAGTGAAAACCTCTCTTCTTCATTATTTACATTATTCGGACTATTATCCTCATCTTTGTCGCCATATTTATTACAACGTTTCGGCCATTTTATGCTCCGGCCTTCTTCAGGTGGTTGGAATGTCGAACTGAACCCTTTATTTCGTTCACTGGGGTAGACTGTTCTAGTTCCACGTGCCATGTTTAATGGATGTCAGTTATCAGTTATCTCCTGTTAATTTCCCTCTGAAAGTTATCCACTGCCTTAACCGGGTATTGAACTCACATTCTCAAGGACACATGGCACAGTAGATAAAGGCGTTAGTTAGATCCAGTGACAGGACCCAAAGAGTGTGAGTTCAATACCCGGTCAAAACGTTATCTCTCAACTAATAATAACAAAACAAAATGTCCTTAGCAACTGGAAGAATTTAGAGAACGCTATTTTCCTTCTGTTAACTGAAAATTACGTCAACTATGAAAATAGCGTTCTCTAAATCCTTCCAGTTGCTAAGGACATTTTGTTTTATTAGTTACTTTGTTTAATAAATTAATTTCGTTTTTGCCTTGTAAAAGTCCACATTGGACGAAACGCATTGGCTACTATTACAGTTTTCCTATTGCCTTTTACATTTAGAAATGTCTTTTTCTACAGGTTAACTCTGAGAAATTTTTCATATCTATCTATCTATCTATCTATCTATCTATCTATCTATCTATATATATATATATATGGTGTCCCATAAGAATGGGACACATTATAAATGCATGGATCTTGGATTATAAAAATGACATATAGTAGTCGTACTAGTCAGCACCCGCTCGCATCCGATCATCGGGATCATCATCATCATCTTTCCTTATTCCCTTTCTCCATTCTGGTGACGGTGGCAAAGATGGCTATGAAGTACCAGCTTACTCTTGAAGATTAGTCAAAGAAATTTGGTCGACAATTCTGCGCAACAGCGAAGCCCACATACTTGGCCAGAAACGTCTCATCTCGCGGCCCACAGGCGAAATCTGACAAACCTGGTTGCATCTGGCCGTTAGATGCTTGGTCTGTCAAGGTCGACCTTTGTTACGCCAGCCCGATTGGCGCTGCCCTCTCCCGCCTGTTTGGCTGTTCGTGTAGATCTTCGCCTACTCCGCCATTGGGGTCTTCGGGGGTTGGTCGCGTTCAGTCCGATTTTTCCTCTTCCACCTTACCGTCATGGGTGGCCCCACTGGAGTTGCAAGTCCAGACGGCTTCGCCCTTGGGATCACTGGGACAAATAATCCGTCTACCATGACAAGGAACGACCATATATATTTTACACTGGATGTCGGAGTGAACAGTTTGTTACCAAATGTACCACTTTGACATTATTTAATATTATAAACTTATAATAGAAACGAAACCAGTAAATAAGAAAAGAATAAAAGTAGAAAAGTATCATTAAATGTATGGAAACATTTTTAATTATTGTTGTTGCTAAATATAAATATTTGAAAGAAAAATAATAAAGGAAGAAATTCATCATCATCATCATCATCATCATCATCATCCTTAGGACTTTTGTAATCGTAGTTGTGGGGATCCGAATGCAGAAGCCATATTGAATCTCCTCTACAACAATCTATCAACGGTGGCCATCTGCAATTCTGGTATAGCCATACTTGGAAGAAATTCACTACTGAACAAAAATAAATAAAATAAATAAATAAATAACGTTACGACTCGAAACGCTTTTCCTACAAATTTGAAAATACGTTATTTATTAATAAATAAGAAAAAAATAAATGAATATATGAACGCAGAATAAAGAATCGTGCAGACGACATATTTTCTTCCATTTTTTCCGTTATTCTTTTTCCCTCCTACTCTCTTAAATCTTCACATTTGTTTTTTCTTCTTTTTCTCTCTCTTTTCTTTATCTCCTCACCCCGTATCTCTCACTATTCTAATTCATTTATTTTGTCTCTCCGCGTTTTCCCTTTCCCTCTTTCTCCTTTCCCCTTTATCTTTGCTTCTCCATTGCACTTTCTTTCGTTTTTGAGTTAATAAAAATAGTTTCGATGTAAAAGTTCCAATTACTCCCAAGAAAGGACTCGTAAAAGAGTTACTCATTTCAGACACGGTTAATCGTGAATCAGCTTTTTTTAGTAGGACTTGTATTGTACTTGAAAACCCCCCTTTTTTTTTCGTGGAATCTATACTGTATAGACAGACACAAACGAATACACATTATTATCCGGATCCAGCACAGACAGACTAGAATTATGATAAGCATCGTAGTATTTTAAGACATTTTTATGTTTATACATTCTTTTTATAGAGACAAATATTTAAGTAAATGCTTTGTTTCTAATAAACAGTATTAATAACATTTACCGGGAAATTTTCATAGAAAATATTCGTCCTCCGAACCTGTATCCTATACGGAACCGTCATATAACCTGACGTGCCTTAACCGATTGGCCCACAGAGGATCGTTCGGTTAGCGAGGTCAATTTTACTGCTTTTAAACTACAATTTTCCATGAATCTCTCACGTACATTCATATCTGCTCATGGCGTATCCAAATGTAAACAAATGACGTCGCACATTGTGAAATGGACAAAGTCCAACCATTATTTTAAGACATTTTTATGTTTATATATTCTTTTTATAGATACAAATATTTAAGTAAATGCTTTGTTTATAATAAACTGTATTAAACAACATTTTGCCGGCCTGAAAGTCAGAGAAATTTTCATAGAAAATATTCGTCCTCCAGCAGGAATCGAACCTGTATCCTATACGGAACCGTCATATAGCCTGACGTGCCTTAACCGATTGGGCCGCAGAGGATCGTTCGGTTAGCAAGGTCGATTTCATAATGTGTGACATCATTTGTTTACATTTGGATACGCATTGAGCAGATATGAATGTACGTGAGAGATTCATGGAAGATTGTAGCTGACAGAACAGATACACGTGAGGTCTGCTTAATCAATGAAAAACTAACAACACAAAAATAAAATAAGAATAATAGAATTTTCTTTTCTCCTCCATATTTCATTTTCTGATGAAGTTTTAATAGAAAAGAAACATGTCAAATTTGTAAACGTAAATTTTAATTTTATTTTTGTGTTGTTTTTCTTTTGCTCTTTTTCAAATAGGAAATGTGTTAAGAATGTAGATTTATTGCAAATTGAATAACAATTGTGGCATGAGCCTGAAGGGGGAGTGGAGTGTGGCTGGTTTACACTAACTATCCTAAACCTAGCTAATCCAATTCACGACCCAGTCATCGATTACAATTTAAATCATTCACCACAAGAACTTATCCATTGCCATTCAGTCCACTATATACCACAATATATTTATATTTATTTATATACCTTATACAAACCCACCCATGTCAGAAAAATTTCATGATATAGCGTTTTTATCATTTTTTTATAAAAAAATATATCTGTTAGGAATGACTGCAAAACATTTTCCCCTCCCCAATTTATTGGCAGAAGCACACAAATGCATCCTGGGATTTTTTTCATAGCCAATAAAATACGCTGGTTCTCGGTTTCATCTGACTCAGTCCCGTTCTGTCTTGTCTTGAAGTCAGAACGCTACCTTCACCTATTCGAATTTTCTCTTGTGGGCCAATACCGATTCTTAGTTTGTGAACTTTTTGCCATATTACTGTTGCTTTGCCTTATTACTGTTAATTTGCCTTGCATATATTGTTTGCTTGCTTTATATTATTTTTGGCCCTGTTCTTCCCTTTTTCTTTTTATTGCTTATTGCAAACTATGTCTATTCTGTTTGTTGGACGGTTTTGTCATTTATTTTACATTTAACAATGGCCACTCTACAGGTTATGAGCCCAACACGCTTCCATTTCTTATTTGTTCCTTACCTTATCGTTCTGTATTCTAGTTTTTTTTTCTTTAAATTTAATTTATCAATTAGTGATGCTCTATTAATTCAATTAATTAGCCAATTTACAATTAAATTTTAGAAAGTTTCAAGCTTATTCAATTTTCGGAGTTTAAAAATTTTGGTAATCTTATAAACAAGAATATCTTCAATTTAAAAACCTCTTCAGACTGTTATCTTATTTGAAGAACGCTTGCTTCCGCAGTAAATTCTTCCTAAACGTCAAGAATCGTAAAGATAAGACGACGCCCATGGAGCAGCTTACTGCAGTTCGTTCAATTAGTTTTGTAGTCCGAACAGATCTATCACTTTGAGTCGTAATTGATTTCCGTTTTTGTTTGTCTACTTTATTCTTTTAAGAAAAAGAAAATACAATTATTTTTATTCAATGCCGAATATATCATTGATAATATCATATATAATAATCAGGCTGTCCCAGAATTTATCTATTTCAATGAAATCAGACAAAATTAAAAGAAAAAACTGACACAATTTTATGCTTATTACTTGATTATGGTACAAAACAAATAGATTTAAAAATCTTACGTCAAAAATTTGTACTGGCCACAGTGAGAGCCTATATCTGGCTGCCACAAATAGGCCTTGGAAAATTCTATTTTATATATATGAGAGCCAACAGCTGACTGACACGATATATTTACTATATGCATAGCATAAAAAAAAAAAATCGATAGCTGCATTCGTCATCTAGTAGGAAAAGTTAAATCTGCCATTTTGTTACTTCATTTGGCTCATTCGCTTGCTTAAACTCAACGTTGATTCTGATTCCGCAGAACTGGGTTGGGTGTGAAAAAATTTATTGTTAACATTCTTTTTTCATTCGGTTTTTTTTTTTTACGAGTCCCCTTTTTTTTTTTTAAAATGATCGTTTTGTGTTCGTTTTGTTTAATTCTTTTTCGTAACCAATTTAATGTTTAGTATAGAAACTTAGAAAAGATTCGCAATGTGAGATAGGCAAGAAGTAAGGTATGTAGCAACACCAGCAAACAAAGGGCACTCCTTTAAAGGCAAGGAATTAAAAAATATTTTAAGTCAAGTGATATATATTGCTATATATGAGTCGTAAATTTTTGAATCAAGATGGCAGGCAACGCCTAGTCATGCTGAATAAGTATAATATAAAAAGCTCAAATATTAATATTCCATGGTTATAATTTATTACATTGGAATCGTAATCACGATCCAATTCATCAGACCTACAAATTCAAAAAGACACTATATATATATATATATATATAAATGCATCCATTTTGTGTAATAAATTCCAATTGAAGGGCAGTCCAATTTAAAAACCAAGATGAAAACCCGGTGTCGTGCTTCAAGTTTTTTTTAATATAATTTCTCACATGATCTTAATTTTTTTTCTTTTATATTTTGTATAATTTATCAACTGAAAAGAAAAAAAATTATAAGATCATATGAGAAATTATATAAACAAAGTTAATCAAAGCACATTGTCTGTCACATTTAATGAAGCTTGCATATATATATATATATATATATATATATACACACACACGTGTTTGGGGTGTAGTAATCGAGGGGCAATGTGCAAAATAACGATGTCTCACCCGGTTCCGTGCTAATTTAGTCCCGTTGCCGCGTACTGATAATTACTATCGGAGACAGTTTGTATATATAATGCACCACATATATCTTCAAGAACGCTTTGTTCGCTTTTAGAAATTCATTTTAAACTTTAAAAATTATAATTAAAAAAAGCGGGGAATAAAAACAAATAAAAAATATCTGATGATACGTTGCTCTTAATACGACAAGAAATAAACAGACTCTGAAATTATAATACATATTGAA